TAATATATATATATATATATATATATATATATATATATTATTACTTACTACTATATATATATATATATATATATATATATATATATAAGTTTATATATTATTTTGTAGATCCAGCGCGAAAAATTGATTTTAATCTGAAATTAACACTCGTATGTGAAGCATCTTGGGTCCAACTCCCGACACATCTGGACTTAATGCATATGCCTCGTACTTTTGCTATTAGAATTGAAGCTTCTGATTTACCAGAAGGTGTTCATGCCACTAGGTAAAAGAAATATATTATTATTGCATTGTTATGTCAAATATTTTGAAATGGTTACAAAAGTTTGTGTTTATAACTTTTAGTGTACGAGCGTATGATGTAACTAACATCGCAAAAGGACCAGTATTTCAAATTCCGATAACTGTTGTTCAGCCAATGACAATATCGAAGACTGCACTTCTTCCAGATTTAACATATACAAATATTTTATTTAAACCTAATACAATCCAACGTCATTTTATTCTTGTTCCAGAAGATGCCACTTGGGCAGGTACAATATATGGCTATCTTGTCATATAATCATTTAATATAATTTAGATATTAATGGAATTACACATTTTATTATTTTATTATTTTTTCTTTAAATTTAGTTCTCAAATTAAAAAGTACAGAAAAGGATAAAACTGGTAGATTTGTAATGCACACTGTTCAATTAAAACCTCGTTTAGCTTGCAAAACTCTTGAAGTTAATAGAATCATCAGTGTTACATCTCAGTCGGAAACTGTTCAACCATTTGCTGTTCAGGTATAAAAATTATGTATTAGAGATATGTAAATACATTTAAAAAAGCTTGATTTCTGTAAATATCATTTATTTTTCCATATGTAAATTTAATCTTTATTTTTTCAGGGTGGATTAATTTTAGAAGTAGTTATAGCAAAGTATTGGGCAAATTTAGGTGATATGTTTGTCGATTATTCCATAGAATTTCATGGAATCCATATGATAAATGGTAATCTTACTATGTTATCTGGAGATGGAATAAATCGCCTTGAATTACGTAGTTCTCTTAGAAACGAAGAAGTTGTACCCAATGTTACTTTGAAAACATCTGTTCAAGTCTTAAAGTATGTTTTATTCAAGATTTGCATCATATCCATAATTATTTTTATAATAATGACTATTAAGGATTATATGATTATATTATTTTTAATTATATAATATTATAGGCCCAACGAATCGAAAATTGCCCCTTTAGGAGCGCGTGATATTATTCCGCCTTCTCGACAAATATATGAATTACAATTAACATATACATTCCATTCGGCAAAATCAACTGAAGTCACACCAAATGCTGCATTGCTTAGTGATTTGTTATATGAAAGCGAATATGAAAGCCAAATGTGGATGATTTATGACAGCAATAAACAATTGATAAGTTGTGGAGACGCATATCCATCTAAAGTAAGTTTTCTAACTTAGATTAGATATTTATAATATATAATAGAAAGATATGTATATATATATATAATGCAACTACTATATATATATATATATATATATATATATATATGTATAGTTGCATTAACATTTTTGTATATAATTAATAATTATAATATACAAATCTATAGTATTTTTTTTTAAATATTTTTACATCTGAATATTTTTTTGTAATAGTAAAGTATTTAATAATTCCAAGATATAAGTATGGAATTTTATATTGCAATTTCATTACAATATAAAATAAATATTTAACTGTATATTAATATAAATAAATATTTATCTATTGCAGTATACAATTCACAAATTAGAAAAGGGAGATTATACTTTAAAAATGCAAGTACGTCATGAGAAGAAAGATTTGCTGGAAAGATTAACAGATATGCCGATACTTTTAAGTCAGAAGCTTAGCACACCAATTAATTTAGATATTTATGCCAATCAATCACAAGCGATTATTGGTGGAAAAAAAATGGTTGCTGCGTCTATTCCACCTGGTCATATTCTTCCTTTGTATATTGCTTCATTATCTAATGAAAGCAAGTAAGTATCTATATTTTTATCTGTGTATATAATCTTCTCTTTAGTTGCTACATCGTGTTATAGATGTAAATTAATATAGTTTAACATATCCAAGTTTGTTGTCAGTAATAATAATTTAGATGCAATTAGATATATAATATTGTTTATATAAAACTAATCTACATTTGAAAATTCTATAGAGAAGAATATATAATTTGAAAAATCTAATACATTTATTTAAGATTTTTGATTGCAACTTTTCTTATTAATTGTAAGATGTATATATATTAGTAAAATTATTCTTTATCAAAGTTTGAATTTAAATATAAAAATTTTATATAAATATAATAATTTTTTTATATTTTTTACGTTGTATACATATTTTAGCATTATGTATCACACTCCATATGCTACATACAATTACATTACATATATTTAAAAATATGTGATACATGTGATACATATATTTAAAAATATGTGTATACATTAGAAATATATTCACATATTTTTAAATATATGGAACAAATCTATTGATTTATACTATGATATCATCTTTATTGCACATTTATACTGTTTTAACTATATGCTTAAAATATTCTATGCAAAATTTTATATTTTTATGTATATAAAAATATGTTGTATATAAACTCTTAATAATTTTATGAATTAAAAAGTAATATTGTATTATGATAGTAATATTGTATTATGGCATACTTAAATCTACAATCGTTAGTTTTTATAATTAATAATTTCTTTGTTTTCAATTATTAAGTTAAATATGTTTGAATAATAATTTATATGAATGTTTTTTGAAAAAAATATATCTTTATATATATAGGCATAAAAAGTGCTTATGGATATTATAATCTAATCTAATATTGATATATACATCTAAATTAATGTCATAAAATTTACATGTACATTTGAGACCAATTGATTTTTTTCTTAGTAAAGATATATTGAAATGCTAATAAATTATATTTAATATTTATGTAGTGTTTTTACATGATGCTAATTATAGTAATTTTTATATT